AGTGGCCACCTGATAAGAAGGAGCTCGTGAAGAGAGAATATTATGAACATTTTGACACATTCATTAAAGCAATAGATTTTAATTTAATTTAGTTAAATGTTATGTTATTTGTTTATTTAGTTTTAAATTAGTTTCTACTTATTAACGTTATTTATTATTATTTAACAGTTTCAGTAATTGTCTTTTCGCCATAATATGAATCTGATATCCCAGTATATATTTTATATTTACGGTTATTGTGTTACATGTAATATTTTGTATGAAGCATGTAGAATAAATGTGTGGTGATTACTGACCGTTAATCGATATTTATTTAGAAATCGTGAGATGCGGTCTGGTGTGATGTAGGTTTCAGAAAAACATTTTCTTTATCGTGCCGTTGCTTTACTTAGAAATACTTTGATTGAATATATAAAAAAAAAATATTTTGCATTGTATAAATTCACTTTTCCACATCCAAAATGTAATTGTTATATGTAAACAATGTTTTGTAAGTCCTAGGCCCTGAAGATGATCTCAATAAAGGTCGAAACGTTGGCACGATAAAGAAAATGTTTTTCTGAAACCTACATCACACCAGACCGTATCTCACGATTTCTGAATAATCATCGACTATCGGTCACTAATCACCACACATTTATGTGTTTTTACAGATCCGTATAGTTTCGGGGGTGTTGGTGAGTTGTTTTGAAGTGATTTGTAGGTGTGTATATCAATTTCTTTTTGTTTAAGTTTTTCTTGGAGGAATTTGTTTGTCTGTTTGGTGAGAGAAGGGGTAGGGTCTGATTTGATTGTGCTGTATGTGTTTATGTCGTTGATAATTTTGTTTTCCTATACTTAATTTTTTTCCTTATACTCTTTTTGGTTGATTGCTATTGTTTGTTTTGTTTTATCAGCAGAAAGAATGAGTATTTGTGAGAAAAATCTTCGTTTTAGTGTAGGTTTGTTGAGATATGTTGAGTTGTTTTGAGGAGATTTTTCTGAAACCTACGTCACACCAGACCGCATCTCACGATTTCCGAATAATCATGGACTAACGGTCACTAATCACCACACGTTTTTTTAAATACTATGCCGGAGCGGTTTTCGATCGAACGACCTATTTCCATCTCGTTCCCCAGATCGGTTCCGTATCCTCATCTTTGCCCAATAGCCGAGCAGCTGCACAGGTTCCCCAATATCCAATATTGGATAATGTTAACAGGTGAGGATTGATTTCGGTTCAAAAATACTAGCTATAAACTCTACTTGTACAATTTTCGATCGTTACATACCATTATGTCATGAGAAGAATCGTGCTTCCACTTCCTTGAAATGCCGAGCCGTGGGAATTCAGCATGGCCTGGTTTTTTCCCATAGACAATCCTTTACATTTCTTATGTGAAGATTTTTCGTGCTTTCTGATGATGATGATGCTGCAGCTAAAAGAATAATGAGTTCTTCCTACGAGAAGTTATGAATATTTGTCCTAACTTACTTAAAACAACGTCAAAGGTTGTTATAAAGGTTATGATGATGCTGAATGTACGGTTATGTAAAAGATATGTAGAGATGTTGGCATTAGGAAAGGGGAAAAATGGTCATAATCATATTTATCATCTTTATGATCCGTACATAAACAGAGATTGAACACATTCAGATAAGTTAGAAATGTTTTTGTATAAAAATCTTAAAACAGCATACAAATGATGATGCTGATGAAAATATATCGAAATAAAAGTTTATGTCGATATTGCAGGTTGCATAGTGCCTATAAATTGCAAAATAATGAACCCTTTCTTAGAGCGGTTATGACGACGACAGTAATTACCCATAATTTTCTTAAAACAAGAAAAACTGGTTGTGATGATGAGGATGGTGGATGTACAGTTGGGAAAAAGGGAGAGGTTGTGATGATGATAATGAAAAAGAAGGTGAATATGCTTTCGTTTTTGTACTAATAGTATTCATAATTTTAATATAATTCATTTGATCTTTATAGTAATGTTCTTGTGGATGCTGATGATGACAACAATGATGATACATGTTGTACAAAAAGAGATTTTACGTTCACAAAAAATAATAACTTTCATTCATTTGATTTCATGGTGATTATGACGACGACTACAATGATATTATTAGCAATGATGATGAGGCAACAATGATGATGCAGATTGTGATGAAGATAATGAAAAAGAATGTGAAAATGCTTTCGGTTTTATAATAATAGTCCTCATAATTCTAATATAATTCATTTGATCTTTATAATAATGTTCTTGTGGATGCTGATGATGACAACGATGATGATACATGTTGTACAAAAAGAGATTTTACGTTCACAAAAAAAAATAACTTTCATTCATTTGATTTCATGATGATTATGACGACGACTACAATGATATTATTAGCAATGATGATGAGGCAACAATGATGATGCAGGTTGTATAATATATAGATTTTACGTTCACAAAAAAAATAACTTTCATTCATTTGATTTCATGATGATTATGACGACGACTACAATGATATTATTAGCAATGATGATGAGGCAACCATGATGATGCAGATTGTATAATATATAGATTTTACATTCACATAAAACAATAATTTCCATTCATTCATTTGATTTCATGACCAGGATGATTATAACGTCGACTAAGATGATGTCAGCAATGATAATAATGAGACAACAATGACGATAGTTGTTTTACATTCGCAAAATCAATCACTTTTATTCATAAATCTTTTATCTTTCATGATCAAAACAATATGACTACGACGACGATGATGTTGATGCCGTTATTGATAGCAACGATGATGACCACGATGATAATACAGTCAGTTCTAGACTTTAAATTCAGAAAACTCAATTATAAAATCTTTCGAGATGATGATGAGGACAATGACAACGATGATGATACAAGTTGTATAGTATTCAGATTTTACGTTCGCAAAAAACAATAATTTTCAAACATTCATTTCATTTCATGATCATGATGACAATGACGACGACTATGATGATGTTAATAGCGATGATGATGAGACAACAGTGATGATACAGGTTGAATGACATATAAATTGCAAACAGTGACTTTTATTGATTTATTGATCATGTTGATGCCAATATTAATAGCAATAATGATGAAGACGATGACTATATAGATAGTTCTAGATTTCAGAAAATTCAATTGTCCTTTCCTGATGAAGATGTTGATGATGACAACGATGATGATACCGGTTGTATAGTTTACATATTTTACATTCACAAAAAACAATCATTTTCATTCATTCATTTGATTTCATGACATGATTATGACTACGACGACGGTGATGTTGATGACGATGTTCAGAGCAATGATGATGCTGACGATGATTATATAGACAGTTCTAGGCTTTACATTCGGAAAACACAATTAGATCATCTTTCGTGATGATGATGTTGATGTTGATTGATCCAGGTTGTGTGGTGTAGAGATTTTACGTTCACAAAAGACAGCCACTTTCTTTCGTTCATTTAATCTTGCATAATAATAGCTATGATATTGACGACGACGACGACGACGACGACATTATGATACAGGTTGATGATGTTGATGCCACTATATAACAAAATTAGGTATAATTATAATTATAATCATGATTTTTGTAGTGATAATGAAAATTAACGCGATAATGATTATGGTGCGATGATGACGACGATGATTATACAGATAGTTCTAGACTTCAGATTCACAAAATTCAACTGTATATCCTTTCGTGATGAAGATGTTGATGATGATGATAATGACAACGATGATGATACAGGTTGTTTAGTATACAGATTTTACGTTCACTAAAAACAGCCATATTCTTTCATGCATAATGATGATTATTGTCATCATAACGACGATGTTGTTGATAATGATGATTACAACAAAGATGGTACAGGTTGATGATGATAATGACAACGAGGATGACACAGGTTGATGATGTTGATGCCACTATACACAACAAAATTAGGTATAATTGTAATTATAATCATGATTTTTGTAGTAATGATGATAATTAACGCGATAATGATGATGGTGCTATGATGACGACGATGATTATACAGATAGTTCTAGACTTCAGATTCACAAAATTCAACTGTATATCCTTTCGTGATGAAGATGTTGATGATAATGACAACGAGGATGATACAGGTTGTTTAGTATATAGATTCACTTAAAGACAGACACTTTCTTTCATTCATCTTTCATAATCATGATTATTATCATCATAACGACGATGTTGTAGATAGTGATGATGATGATTACAACAATGATGGTACAGGTTGATGATGTTACTATATAGAATAATATTTGGTATAATTGTAATTATAATGGCGATTTTTGTAGAGATGATGAACATTAAATCGATAATGATGATGGCGATGAAATTTTTTGTAGATTAAAATTTATGGCAATATAACATATAATTCATATTACAGTGATCTGATGTGAACTTGATAAATATATCTTATGATACAGTTGATGATGATTGGGTTGGTAGATGATGATTATGAAGAATAATGTGTACAATCCATTATAGTTCGTGGTCCGATTGAGTTTATCTCAACCAATACCTTTCATAAAGATTAATTAATTGAAAAAAATGTGTACAATGATGATGTTCTTGTAGAGTGGGGCGATTAACAATATCCAGAATTTCTTTAAGACAAATGTGCCATGATGAGATGATGATGTTGATAATGATGCAGGTTTTTGTAGGATATATTTTTGTTGTTAGTGCATTTTAGTTGGGTTTAAAAACATCACTTTTGACGTTTGAGTAGGAAAACGCGTACAGATGTCAAGTTTGACGAAGAAACGAATGGCCGATGATAAAGAGCGAGCCTTTGCGGACCACTTTAACCCGCTCTTCCCGTCCGCGCGAGATGTTAGGGTCGATAAACCCACCCCATCGGGGAACCGACCTTGGTCGCCGAGTCATCGCCAGCCGCCCTTCTTTTTTCTTTAGGAGGGGGTCCAGTCGGCTTCGCCGTGTGTACGCCGTCCGCGGGCAGCCAGTCCGTCACCTGACATGCACCCAGGCTGACATGGATATCGAATTCGAAGACCTGACGTTCAACGTCGACCGGGGATGGTTCAATCTGAAAGGTGAGACTTTTTTGCACACAATAAAAACATTTTATAGTTCGTGCGGTAGACTCGGATCTAAGACGAAAAACGGCGAGGATAGACGGTAAAGTATCCCCAAGTAAAGTGACTAAATGGCACTTTAAAAATAAAAAATACCTATATATAGAGATAAATAAATCTTCTCTCCTGATTTGACCAGAAATACACAAATCATTTTTTCTTAGTTGATTGTCGACATTGCCAGGCGGAAAAACAGCGAAGATGTGCAATCCCCGAAAAAGAAATATAAAAAATTTATTACTAATTTATAGCGTTTATTGAGAAAATAATAGTAAAACAGTTTCCCAGTTTAAGGACACATTAGGCGTTAGTAATTAGTGTTTTTAAGGCTAAAAATTAGTAAAATTCAGAAAGATTTACTATATGAATCAGTAGTTTGTTCTCTGAATTTATTTTTTAAAAATTTTGGTCATAATTAGGTATTGCTCTGCTTGCAAAGAGCGCTGACAGTGGCAAAACGTGATTTGCTGACTTGCTGGGGGACAAAAAAACAGCGAGAATAGGCGAACCTCATCGATAAATTAATCGAAATTTTGTCTTTAGAGAATTTTTTTTGGGGGGGGGGCGAATCGCTCTTTAATCAAAACTCGGCTTTTACCAAAACAGGACGAGATTACGCGGACCCCCGACCGCGACTTTAAAGAGAACAAATTTGCGATGGTATTGTTCTGAGAAAATCCAATTAAAGAGAAAAATTCATTTAGGCAGCTGTCAGCTATTGAACCGCCAGAATAGATATTAAATTCTCCGCAAATTAGAAATCTATTAGATTTATTTTTATTATTGAAGTTTCGAAATTTTCAAAAAACCCTCTATAAAAATCAGAACCTGGGTTATGTAAAAAAAGCCATAATTGATCCGAAGTTCACTAATTTTTACCGAAATACAAAAATCCTCCATGAATTGTTAGAAGGAATCAGCTGTTTTTTCAAATGATATTTTGAAGCAATTAAAATTCGACCACCGGACTCTTGTGCTAGTAAAGACTGATCTATTTTCTAAAGACAGCACGGAGGGAAAAATTCGCTTGATACGAAAATTTCAATGAGATTCCTTAAGAAAACTTATAATACAATTACAACTAATCATAGCTTTATAAAATTCAATAAATTTCTACTTAAGCCCAATCATATTTTGATAATAAATATTTACATAAAAATGGGCGAAGATCACTCTTGTGAAAGGTTTTCAAAAAAAAAAAAAAAGGGCACGTGACAATTTTTCCAAATTTTACACCAGAGCACAAAACCCGTCCCAATTTTCACTAGTTCATTTTTTTTCTGATTGAAATAATACAAGGTGATAAAATGCAAGTAGGATTTTATGATTCTTTAAGAATTTACAGCTTGCTTTACTCTGGCGGGCATGAACCCTTTCATCGCTGAACTCACGGATTTTCAAAAAGCTTTAAGTTAAAAGTGATCTAAAATTTTGTATTTTCTCGTAAAAATTTCCAGTAAAAAGTAGAATTTTCTTCAGAATGTCTTCTATTTTGAAGGCACTCAAAAGCTTTTTTTTTTTTTTTTTTGAAAGCTGAAACCGTTTTTTAATATTTTTAATTCTCTGTTCTGCTTGTTCAAATCAACTATGTGAATATACCATTTTACAGCATTTTTACGTAGATTGCAATAAAAATGTAATAAAAGCTGTAAAATTGATCAATAACCAAAAAATTTCTACAAACCATTTTTACTCCAATTTCAATTTTTTCCAATTATTTGCAAGTAAAATAGGTCACAAAATTTTTTAAAATTAAAACATGAAATTTCATTTTACCACCTCACCTACCATCTCTTTCCTCAAACCCTAGAAATTTTGAAATAAAATTTTTTATTTCGTTAAATTCACTAATTTCGTGGTCCGCTTGACCAATTAATACATTACAATTAATTAAGGTTTTTAGTTGAGATGAAAAAAAGTCTGGCACGAGCGGGATTCGAACCCACAATCTTCGGCTAAGATCGTGGGTTCGAATGCCGCTCGTGCCATTAACTTTTTTCATCTCAACTAAAAACCTTAATTAATTGTAGTTATTTATTTCAATTTAAATTTATCTATTTTTTGAACCCTACAATTTTTACGATTTTTAAGAAGTCAATCTCGGAATATCGGATTTAAACGACTTTAATTCAAAAACGGCTGAAAGGTGTAAATTTTACCTACCTTTAAAGAAGAACGTAGCTTTTTAACAACATATGATCATAAAAATATATAAAAGATTTTTACAAGAAAATACATAAAATAAGAAAATATTTTTGTCAGAAATTAACCTCATTTTGTTAGTAAAAATAATAATCCGATTAGTGTTTGATAGAGTTATAAAATGCATTTGACAATTTTCTTTAAAAATAATGTGTAGTGATTAGTGACCGTTAATCGATAATTATTCAGAAATCCTGAGATGCGGTCTGGTGTGATGTAGGTTTCGGAAAAACATTTTCTATAACGTGCCAACGTTTCGATCTTTATTGAGATCATCTTCAGGGCTCAAAGTGTTTGTCTTCTGTGTAATTGTGCCATTCTTGCGTGTCCTGTCGATAAAGAAAATGTTTTTCTGAAACCTACATCACACCAGACCGCATCTCACGATTTCTGAATAAATATTTTCTTTATCGTGCCAACGTTTCGATCTTTATTGAGATCATCTTCAGGGCCTGGGATTTACAAACATTGTTTACATTTAACAAATACATGTAGGATGTGGAAAAAAGTGTATTTATACAATGCAAAATATATTTTTTATAATCAATCAAAGTATCAGACAGTAATTTAAAAAAAGGCATTCTAAACTATGGCATTCATTAAGATCTGTTGATCAATGTTCCAAAAAAAGTANAAGATCGAAACGTTGGCACGATAAAGAAAATGTTTTTCTGAAACCTACATCACACCAGACCGCATCTCACGATTTCTGAATAATAATTTAAAAATAATTATCGACCTCGAAATTATCAGCCAAAAAATTAATTTACACCGATTTCCGCGAAAGTCGATATCTAAGGGGTTTATAACGCTAAAATCACGACAATGAGGTGAAATCCAAATTTTGACCTTTTTTTGACCTACTCTGTTTACAAAATTTTTGTTAAAATTTGCTCAAAAAAAGCAATATTTTGTTGATTTATCTTCTTAAATCATGCATAATTAGAATATTCTGCGTCATAAAACATATTTGATTTATCTTAACCAACAATGAAATTAGTACACCAAAAATAATATATAAATATAAATTTTTGTTTGAATTTAAATTTATCGATTTTTTTCAACCCTAGAATTTTTCCTATTTTTAAGAAGTCGTTCTCGGAATATCGGATTTAAACGACTTTAATTCAAAAACGGCTGAAAAGTATAAATTTTACTTACCTTTAAAGAAAAAGAACGTAGCTTTTTAATAAACACTCGTGTCGAGAGCCCCCAAAAATCGAACCAGGGATAAAGTACTATAAGCAGTACAGCTGCAGTGCTCAGGGGGGCATGAACTCCTCCAGTTCCTGGTGTCCAATGAAAAAAAAGTGTGGGGGTGAGTCAGGTCTTTCAATAAGGAAAACTTAAGCGAGGACTGAGCCCAGATAAGCAATCATCCCGATGCGTCCTTGTTTCTAAGGAAGCTTCTCTAATTGAAGCAAGCGTAAGCCATCGGGCATACCAGGAGGACTTGGTCCTGATAACTTTAAAATTTTGAAAATAAATTAGAATTGAAGGTTTTGAAGTATATACGTAAATCAGGTCAGTAGTTTCTAAATAAATCATATAGTTTGGTGTAGGGTTAAGAAGAGCAAATAACTTACGACTAAAAATCTTTGGAATTTCTCGTCTTCTTCGTATTGTTGGTAGCCCCATGGCAACCGTAACAGATAATTGACATACCGAGTTGAATACATTAAATTTCAAGTGGATCGAAACCACTTCCTGTTTCATCAATTGGGCCCAGGTTTTACAGAGAGCAAGCTTCGCATGTGATATTTTATTTTTCGGATGGTCTGACCAGTGTAATTGAGGGGGTGATCGTAACTCCAAGGCTATGTATTTATTTATTAATTTCCTCGTAAAATCCATGTAATTTTAAAAGGGAACATGTAGAAATATACGCCAATTTAGTGGTGGAAAAACTTAAGATTTATTACCTGTTTGGTCTAACCAACGTAGTTCTAATTTTTCTAACAGTTTAAGTATTTTCATGTATGTTTCGTATATACAATCTTTTTTTTAATAAATTAAAGGCTGCAACCTTATTGGTCATTAAGCCTTCAGTCTTTGCAAGTCAACGGCGCAGCCCGGCCCCCTCAGAGCGAGGCCCCCGCAGACCCCGGCGTAGTGGCAGCCCCAGGCCTGGAAAGAACGGAACCCCACGGTTCTCTTGCAACTGATGCTTTTAGTCTTAATATTGCGCGCAGGACTTTATCGAGGAAGGGTCGGTGTCTAATCACCTCTAAGCTCGCTGGAGATTCCTTGACCTCAGAGTCCGGGGCGGCACCCCTCAATCCAGCCCAAGACCGACCAGCACCCGAGGTCCCGCGCGGGCGTCGCCAGAAGTCAGCCGCACCACACCGCCAACATGGGGAACCAGCAAAGGAAACAAGAGTTGAGGGGATGGGATATTAGATTTTATCAATTAGTTGGATGTCTGTTAAGAAGTTAAAAATTTTGTTTATTGATGTTGAGTTGTTGCTTAGTTGGAGGTCTTTGGGAATCTGATGGAGGGTTCTTTTAGAGGTGTATAAAGGACAATCTATTAGGATGTGGGATATTGTGATGGTAGTTTTACAGAGTGGACATATAGGTTTCTTTCAAGGAGGAATCTATGGGTGAGTCGGGAGTGACCAATTCGAAGCCGGGTTAGGAGGGTTTCTTCTTTTCGGGAGGGTCTAGAAGAGGATTCTCATTTCTTTACATCTTTCTTTATTGCGAGGAGCTTGTTTCATGTGCAGGCACTCCATTCACACTTCCATGCCCCCCAG